GGAAAGAGAGAAAGAGGTGCCCCACAAAGGATCCCCTCCCCATGATCCATCCCCAGTCCCAGTTGACCTGGATCATAGGCATATGTGTTCAGGTAGGTTCTAGGATGTAGGCTATAACATTTTTTCATTTGTTTAATGAAAACTTTCTATGACTGACTCCCTGGATAGCTTGTGGAGCACAGTCTATTTTTAAGTTGAGGACTTCCTGGTTGGCTGGTCTTAGATTTGACTCCAGAAGCCAGAACAGTGCAGTGGTCTCAGGCTAAGTCTGCCCTCATGGCATCAAGGTCACTAGCTAACCTATGATCATGCAGCATCATCCGAATGCACTGGGCAAACATTCATGCTTAGCTGGGTTAAAATTAAACAGTCGTAGTATAAAGTAAGCAAGTCCTCAGTGCACGCTCTCCTTGGAGTTAGATCTAAAGCATTAGATTAGGAGGGAGATGGTGGCCCTGATAGTCTCCTCTCAGCTGTCCTAGTCGGCCATGTCTTTATGTAGTCCAAAGAAGGAAAGGCACGCAGGGCCCTCATACCCCAGACAAACCTGTGTTTTCACCACCCTGGAGAGAGCTCAAAGATTCACAGGCTCTGAATGAAGGAATGCTGCTTAAGTAGGCACTAACTCCTGGCTGAATACAGTTGATGATTTTGTTTCCTTCTGAGTCTGTTTTGGAAGATAGAAGATTATAAATACGGAATATAGAAGAGATCTTCAAAAAGAAGACCTTCAAAGATACACATGGAAAATGTGTATTATGAAAAAGCCATACTATTTTTTGCATTAAAATAAACTCATACTTTAATTCCATTTTTCTACAGATTTTATAAAGTCCTTATATAAAATGCTTTGGATGAAAACACAACTTGACGGGAACCAGCAGTTGGTGTAATGGCTATGTCGCTGGACTCCCACGTAGTTGACCACGGTTCGCGTCCCGGACTCAGTGGGTTAGAACTCACGCCGGGCGCGTGTGCATGCGTGCCCAAGATCCCAAGAGGAGAATGGAGGAGAAGGGATTGCGGTGTGACCATCCCCCCTGAGGGGTGATTTCTTGCTTTCTGTCTTTATGTCTCTCTCTGTCTGGCGAGCACACGCGCCCTATAGTGAAAATCTCTTAAAAAAACAAAACAAAACAAAAACAACAAAAAAAAACACAACTTGATAAACATAGAATTAAATTTGAATAATGATTAATCTCTTAATCTTCTTAAAATTTGCCCATACATATGTAGCACTTTCACTATTTCTTGTGTGTATATTTAAAATTTTCTGGATGGTTTTCCACAGCAAGATGTAGGTAAATAAATAATCAATATTAGGGCCTGCAGGTGGCATGGTGGTTAAGGCACTGGACTTTCATATGGCCTACTGGTTCAAGTCCCAGACCTGGTGGCTGGAGACTCCTGCTGGGCATGTGTGCATGCGTGCTCAAAATCCCAAGAGGAGACTTATGCTGGACATGTGTGCATACGTGCTCAAAATCCCAAGAGGAGAGTGGAGGAGAAGGGATTGCAGCATTGCCATCCCTCCTGGAGGGTGATTTCTCACTTTCCCTCTCTCTGACTCTCTCTGGTAAACGCACACATCCTATGACAAAAACCTAAATAAAACAAAACAAAACAGTATTTTTTCTTCCTTGGGGGAATATATAGGACAACAATCCTATTTTTAATAACACTCGGTTTTAATAATACTCACTCCAAGATTTCTGTTTATTGTCAGAGGGTATGTGTGCTCATGAGAGAAAGAAAGAGAGAAAAAGCCCCCAGTGGGACATGGTCATGCCACAAATCTTCTTTCTCTATTTCTCCATCCTGCCAGGATTTGGGGCACACATACACATTAAGCAACTGGGATCAGGATTTGAACTGTGGGTAGCCATGTCATATCTGGTTCCTTGCACAGCACTTAACTGGGGTGCTATGGGGCCAGCCAGGTGGCATGGTGGTGGTTAAGGCAGGTAGATACCACATGGCTCACTCCGCGGTTTGATTCCTGAATCTGGTGGCTTGGAAAATACTGTGGATATGTATGTGTGTACCCAAAATCCTGAGAGAAAAGTAGATGAGAAGGGATTGCAGCATGGTCACTGGGGTTGGGGGGGGCACTTTCTTTTTCTCTCTCCTTCTCTGTGTCTTTCTCTGGCAAGTGCACATGCCCTATAGAAAATTTAAAAACAAACAAAAAAATTAAATACAGCAGCCACAACTCTAGAAGGAAACTGGGTGGAAATATGTGTGTGCATATATGCATACATATATATACACATGTGTGTGTGTGTATGTACATATCTCCTGTATATATATATATTTTTTCTTTAATTTGCCAGAGGGTGCTTGTGCTTGCTACATGGGGAGAGAGAGAGAGAGAGAGAGAGTAAGAGAGAGCAAGAGAGAGAAAGGAAAACAAGAAAGAACCCCTATCCCTTCCCCATGGGATATGGTTATGCTGCAATCCCTTCTCCTCCAGCTCTTCCATCTGAATTTTGGGCACATATGCACTTGTGCCCAATGTGTTTTTCAAGTCACTGGGTCTAGGATTTGAACTGTGCAAGTGGCCATGCGTGTTCTACCTCACATAACCACCAAGGCATGGGCTGGCCCATTTTTTATTTTAACTGAACATCAAAGAGATTATTTAATCCTCAAAATAACAGATCTGGTAAGTGGTGGGCACACTGACAGCTGGGCCTCGTTGCCTTCAGAGCCAGCGTGCTTTGCCCTGTGGCTGACCTGTGGTTTAGGCATCAGGCACGGTACAACCTGTGCTGTCATGAACACTTTTATGTGACTGCTGGGGACTGTTTTTCATATATTTGCCTTTTTGTCCCCAGGGATGGAGGCCTGAAGAGAGCTAAGGTGAAGGACACCTTTAAGGAAGAGCAGCAGAAGAATTACAGCAAAATGATTGTGGGCAATGGGTCTCTCAACTCGGAGTTGGACTGCTAGATAGATTTGGCCTCCCAGAACTAACCCTTAGAAATCGAATGGGTTTTTGGGGTTTTGTTTTCTTTTATTGTTTTATTTTATTTTATTTTATTTTTATGAATCTTTTCTACAGGATGATTGTCTCTACCTCTTCATGCCAGAGGCAGAACTCACAGGTGCCCTTTTTCGTTGTTGTGATAGCATTTGCCCATGAATTGTAAGATGGTTGACTGAGCCAAAACAGATGCTGCCTTTTGTAAAATGATTGTGTCATTATGATTGAATGAAATGTTCGTGTAGGAAAAAGTGCTTCTAAAGTGTTTGGAAATCCTTAAAAAAAATACCTAAAATTCTCTTTTCATAATTTACTTTCTCCCTTCAATCACTGAAATGATGGAATGGCACATCCGTTGGAGGCCCCTTACGGTTGGATTCTACTGTAAGGTTGACATGAAGAATGGAGGATTGCATTTGGGAGAAGAGACAGCTTGATGGTCACTTGATCTGAAAGTAAAAAAGAAATAAAAAGTATTTTTAAAAATGTGTTGGAAGAGAACTACTGTGGGTAAACTTCACCAAAGAAAAGTGAGCGAAGGTTAATATGTATGCACATGTGTATAGACAATTTAGAAATAAACACGTCGTAGCCAGCAGCTAGTGACAAAGAGCTTAGTTAGTCTTCCTCATTCCTGGGCTAAAACTCTATTCCTAGTTCTTCTACCATCTACTGATTTCTTTGTTTTTGTCACCAAACACATTTTCAAGTAGAAGGAGCCTTTAAAAAACAATATCACATTGAGAATGTTCAGTATGAATGAATGGAAGTGTGTGGAGACCCTCTCCCCACCCCTCTATCCCTTCGTGGTTTATTCTCGAACTTTCCCAGTCTCTTAAATAGAAAAATAAGTGATATAATTACCTTTTGGAAACTGAGCCTTAAATTTTTTAAAGAGGGAAATAGCATTCCCTGACTCACACCACATAAGCAATGTTTGATAGCAGTGTAATGCCGTCGTAAACCCTTGAGAGTATTATATTTCTTCTGGTAACCATGTACAGAATGTGAAACTGTCTTACCATGAATATAAATAAATTCTATATTTCTAAATGTGTGTGGCATTATTTCCCCTTCCCTTCTACCCTCTTTTGCTTTTGAGTAAGTTAAATTCTTTCTTGTTACAAACAAGGATTGTTTGTTTTTCATTTCAAGACTCGGTTAGATTTTATTGGACTGGAACACCTGGGAAACATGAACCACTTATTATTTTTCCCCTTCCTTTTATTTAGCCTAGTAATTTGGACTCTGGCCTTGTGGACTCCGCCTTGAGCAGTCACAGGCTTTAACTATTTTGCGGGTGAACTCAGGCAATTATATCTAATTGACTATATAGGTAAGCCTGGCATTGCACTGTGGGTATATTCTCTTATAACCTAGCTAACTGGATTTGATTCCAAAGGGGAATTTGTAAACAGATTACCCTCACAGTCAGCTACCCTCTGTTCTAACTCTCCTTTCCCTTCGTTGTTGCTTTCAGTTTTATACTCCCCCTGCCCCCCAACACTACTAGGGGGATATTGACTAAATCCACAAATCCACATATATAGGTTGGGGTGACTCTTCATCTTATTTTCTCAGAAAGAGGCGTTCCTTTTTCTTTTTAATTTTTATAGTCAAAATGGCTCCAATGAATAAATCCCTTTATTAGCGTAACTGTCAGAAAAGCTGATAGAACAGCTAATTGCTATTTTGTTTGGATAGCAATAAAACGCACTGTGAAAACAGCAGTACTGGGACCAGCAGTTAGCGTAATGGCTGTGTTGCTGAACTCCCACGTAGTGGGCCTTGGTTCGAGTCCCAGACCCGGTGGCTTAAACGCATGCCAGGTGCGTGTGCGTGCGTGCCCAAGATCCTGAGAGGAGAAAGGAAAAAGGAATTGCAGCGTGGCCATCCCCCCGGGGAGTGATTTCTCGCTTTCTGTCTCTCTGTCTCTCTCTTTCTGGCGAGTGCACGTACCCTATAGCAAAAACCTCTAAAACACAACACAACAAAACAAAAAAACAGCAGTACTGTCACCTATTTACTAGATAATCTAGCACTATCTCAGTCAGAGCTTTTGCCTTATTGGTCTTTGACTTATACAAGCTTGCAAATTGCTTTAAGAATGCTTTACTGACATTACTGACAACAAGATATTGGAAAGCTAATTATTACTTGGAATTAGTTTATGCTCCACAGAACTTGCATTTGCTTTCTCTAACATTATTTTATACCCACTTTAGAAAATACCATTCCAGAGTATCGTATTCTTTTAATTTTTATTTTTAAATTTTTATTTTTAATTTCATTTTTAAAATTATTTTTTATTGCTGGAGGGCATATAGGTTTGCTAGAGAGAGACAGGGAGAAAGGGAGAGGGAGAAAGCACTCCCAAGGGGGACAATCCGGTTTCTTCCATTTCACCATTCTGCCAGGATTTTGAACACACATGCACACGTACCTGGTGTGTTTCTCAAGCTGCAGGACAAGGGTTCAAACTATGGCCGCCTGTGTGGGATCTGGCTACCATAACCACTATCAGGCCTCAGGGTGGGCCCTGGAGTTTAGTTTAATTTTTTTGTTGTTTTGTTTTTAATTTAAGATTTTGTCATAGGGCATGTGCATTCACTGGAGAGAGACAGAGAAAGTGAGAAATCATCCCCCCTGGGGGGGATGGACACATGGCAATGCACATGTATGTAGACAGCTCACAAACACATTGTAGGGACCAGCAGATGGCATAATGGTTGCATGGCTAGACTCCCATGTAGTCATCCACGTTCACATCATGGACATGGCAGCTTAAAACACACTGGGTGCATGTGCGTGTATTCATGCCCAAAATTCTGAGAGAATGGAGGAGAAGGGATTGGCAGGGCGTGATTTCTCAAGTTCTGTCTCTCTGTCTCCCTCTGTCTCTCCGGCAATCACATGCAGCCTATAGCAAATATAACTCTAAAACAAAAAATAAATAAAAAATTTAAAAAACACACTTTGTGGCCAGCTACTAGTGATAAAGAACTAAGTTAGTTTTCCATTCTGTATTCTGCTGTTGGGATTTTGGATAGGCACACACGCGCGCCTGGCACAATTCTCAAGCTACCAGGTCTAGGACCCCAACCACGGTTGACCATGTGGGAGTCCAGTGCCTGGGCCACCACACCACTTGCTGGTCCCCAGTTTAGTATTCCTGAGTCTTCTGCAATTGTAAGGAGATATCAAGGGTAGGCAGGATTTGGTAGAGAAGTTTTATCAGATAAGACCTTTCATCTAATGCTTGCATGGATCTGTTGACTGAACCTTGAGGTCTCCTCTATTTTATCCCCTTTGTTTGGATCAGGAATACAGATAGCAGGTTTGAGGAATGCCAAGCGCTTCTGTAGTGGCATGCCCTGGGATTGGATGAGCAGCCATGTGTGAAACTGTAAATACACTCAAGGCCCAGGGGAAATAGTGCTGGTGGCAGTGTGGTGCAAAGAACAGTCTTAAAGTCTTCCTGCATAAACAGACTTTCCAACTCACAGGCTTCTTTTATTTTTTTGTTAGGCAGAGTCTCGCTAAGACAGAAAGACAGAAATCACCCCCCCCAGGGGGGATGGTCACACCGCAATCCCTTATCCTCCATTCTCCTCTCGGGATCTTGGGCACGCACGCACACGCACCCAGTGTGAGTTAAGCCACCAGGTCTGGGCCCGCACCCCCTGTCGACTACATGGGAGTCCATGATGTAGCCATTACACCATCTGTTTGTCCCACAGGCTTCTTCATCTTGGTAATTTGCAAGATCCACTCAGTACATATGTAGCCCTCTGGGCCTTTTGCTGATTTCTTAATATATCTGATAAGTGTGGCTGGTTTCTTGTGATTACAGATAATGTGGTGTGGTCATGAGGACCGCCCAGTGACCATAGTTTCTCTGTCTTTGTTCCGGAAATATATTACTAATTCAAACCGCTTTCTGCGGGACAGCAGGGTGGGGTGAGAGTAGGGGCCAACACTAGAATCTGGGATTCCTAACAAAGAACTTCACAAAAGCAGTATGCTTGTTTTGTTTTTTAACCCTTGTTTCTAGTGGATTGATGATGGTATTTTTTTTTTTTTCGAATAATGGTGAAGGTTATGGGGTAAAGAGTTACAAAACATTTTCTAATTGTGGCTCTAGGACTTACTGGCTTTGCAGCCTTGGACCATCCTCTGATTCTCACGTCTTTGTATTTATTGTGAAATCGTAGAACATGCAATAGTGTGTATAAAAGCATGCAGGTCCACTTTAAGGGCAGTGATCAGAACGGGTGCCTGCATACATGTTACTTATTTCCAATAAGTGGAACATGACTGTGTCTCCGAAGGTATGGAAATAATTCTGGGACTGGAGTGAAGCAGTAGTAAAATGCAGTACTCTGTGAAGCAGACCCATAGGGGAAGGTTCTGGGTTCAGGTCTGGAGCCCTCTCTGAGTATTCTGGGCACTGAATATCCATGATCTGGGGCTGGCTTAGACTGGACTGGATTACAACATTAAGACCCTATTGGAGGGAACCAGCAGTTAGTGTAATGGCTATGTCGCTGGACTCCCACGTAGTCGACCGCTGTTCGCGTCCCGGACCTGGTGGCTTAAAACTCACGCCGGGCGCGTGTGCGTGCATGCCCAAGATCCCAAGAGGAGAATGGAGGAGAAGGGATTGCAGCGTGACCATCCCCCCTGGGGGGTGATTTCTCGCTTTCTGTCTCTCTGTCTCTCTCTGTCTGTCTGGTGAGCGCACGCGCCTTATAGCAAAAACCTCTCCAAAAAAAAAAAAAAAAAGACCCTGTTGGAGATGCCATCTCTCTGTTTCTGTCTCTCTCTTGCTCATGGAAGAAAGAAAGAAACTTACAAGAAAAAGCACAAATCTGTATTCCAGTTACTTTTGATAGACAGTGGGGGTATTTCTAAAGTTTTATAAACACATCTGTATTCACACGGAAGAGTTTCTGTAGCTTCTATGTTTAAAAAGAATTGGGAGTGCTGAATAGTAGGGTATCAGCATATTCTCTTTAATGTAGAAAAAGCCAAACTGTGTCCAAAAACATTGCCTCATTTTATCAAATCTATTAAAGTGTATGAGAGCAACATTTATATTTAATGTACTAACATATTTGGATTAAAAAAAAATTGCCAGAAGATAACATGTTCCTGCTATAGAGAGACAGAGATTTATTTTTATCTTCTTATTTTGTGCTTTGTCTTTCTTCCAGTTCCCCATTTCTCTTTTCTTGTCCTCTTTTGAATTTATTACTTCTTCCATTTATTTCCTCTCCCTAAACTGGAGATGAATGGCCTTACTTGTTCTGTAGTTACGTTAGTTCATCTCGCATACTTATTTAAGTCCAGTGTGATTTTCACGCTGCCAGGCCTGGGACGTGAACCGCGGTTATCCATGTGGAGTCAAGCACCTTTACCATTATGTCACCTGCTGGCCCCTTAAATACTTTTTTGATCCCACAAATTGTCATTGTCCTCCTTACTAGTGTCATTAAAAAAATATGTGTATTATTTGAAGTTTCTTTGTGAGACAGAAAGGGAGGGAAGGACAGGCACCCTCGACAGTCCCACACCACAATCCCTCCTGTAGCCTTTCCTTCCAGCCCGGCTCACAGGCACGTAGGTGTGCCTACTGTGTGCGATCTGATCCGGGAACTGAACCCTGGTCTTTCATATGATGTCTGGCATTGCAGAACTAGAAGCTGGACTGTCATCATGTCGTATACCCGTGTTTACCTGTACTGTACTCTTTTACCACCTCGTTATTCTTCTCCTCTTTTGTCTCACTCTGTCCATCTGGGTTCACTTTCACTTAGTGAGAGTCTGCTGGTGGCTAACTCCCTGTGTTTTGTTTTCCTGAAAGTATGTTCATTTGGTACTTAGTCTTAAAAGTTTTTACTGGATGTAGAAACTTACATTCATAAGGGCAACTATTTTTCTCTAGTCCCAATGTGGATCATTCCACAGTTGCTGTTGCGATGTCTGCTGACCAGCCTAGTCGTTATTTCTTTTTTCTTATATTTTTGGCATAGGGCAAGTATGTGTATTGG